CTGCGCATACCTAAAATTAAGCCTAAGCCTAAGCCCAAGCTTAAGCCTAAGCTTAAGCCCCAGGCTAACCCCAGCCCAACCCTAAGCCAATATATACATGTTTTTTTCAGGATTCCCGCAAGTGCGCCCGGTCCACCGCACCCGCAGCTACCACATCGTCCACCTGCTGTCCCCAAAACGCAGCGGCTCGTTCAATGTGGCGAAAGCACATGAGAGTAAGGATTTGCATATTTGGTTTCCAGGCCCGGGGAATTGCGTCAAAATTTTATGTCATAGTTTGGGGGTGGGTCTGATAGCAGGTTATCAGTTTCCCGCATAAGCCGGCGGCCGGCCAAATCTTTTGTTACGAGGCATGTCAGGCACGGATTTATGGGTTGTTATGGCTGCCGGTGTGGAATTTAGAGCTTATTCTTTATTACATTTACAAAGAACTGAAATCATCCTAAATATAGATCGATATAAAATCGTTAAAATAATTGAAAATTAAACGGACCAAACCCCGCAAAAATCGAAGAGTTACTTTGCGGATTTTCTGTAATTTTTGGTTTTGTTCTTTCTTGAAAAGATCAAGGTTAGAACGTTTTCATTTTTAGTGAGGCGTTATTTGTTATTGATGTCTTAAAAAGATAAGATTACCTAGAAACGAAGCCAGACCTCTAAGGTAGCCGACTTCATCCGATTTTTTATGTACAACGTGTACAGCACCTTATAATGTTTTTGTGTTATTTTTATGCGAAAATCACCTTTTTTTCACACGCTGAAATACCTTTAGCTCATACAGTAATAATATAAATTTCAAGCCTTATAACCGGATCCCGATCTCTGGTTCCCGAACAGCCTCTGCTTGCTGGCTGCCCTCTGCCTCTAGGTTCAGTTGGTTTGCACCACGAGTTCTGTTGGGCGCCGTTGTTTACAAGCTCTTCCACACCTACTCACTCACCCGCCGTGTTCTACTACGGCCGTTTGTCAATGCCGTTTTTTTTCTGCTGGAGAGCCGGAAATTTTTGGCATTTTCGCGGCGCTACGCCCACTCATACTCGGCGAAATAGCAATGTACAAAACTTTGCAAATTTGCAGCACTATTTGCATTTTAATTCTTTATTCGATCAGGATTTTCGAAACTCATATTTTTGTTTTAACACGACCGAAAAGCTCTCTATAATTTTAGAGGGCAAACTTTGGAAATTTTTTAAGAATTCCGAGACCCCTACGTTAACCCATTACGCGATGAAAAAAGCCCTAGCTCACCTCCCCTCTCTCTCTCTCTCTCTCTCTCACTCTCGCTCTCTCTCTCTCTCTCTCTCGTTTTCTCTATCTATATCTCTCCCGTTCTCTCTATCTCTCTAGCTCACTCTATCTAACAATTCATCAAGTACGAAGCAATGTCCTAAACCAAGTAACCAGCCATTTGCCAACCCACTCTCTCCTAGCCCAGATCTACCCCGGGGCTTCAAAGAGGCGTCGGGAAGTGTGAGTGAGTAAGTGAGATCTAGTAAAAACACACATCCCCCCTCGAAAGATTGAGGCCAACGGGCTGTGGGGAGGGCCAGCTGCTGCCACCGGCCCGCAACGGCCGGAATGAGGCCATTCCGCGTTCCTGCGCCCTCTTTTTGAAAAACGACCCCCTCGGACTGTCGGAGTGGAATGAGAAACGGGGTGGAATCTGGGCTTGACTTCGCACATATGTGTTGGCGAATAGTCGCATCTTCACGCTGCGGTGAGCACCCGCGTTTTGTGGTTTTTTGAGGCTTGGCTTAGGCTTAGGCTTAGGCTTAGGCTTAGGCTTAGGCTTAGGCTTAGGCTTAGGCTTAGGCTTAGGCTTAGGCTTAGGCTTAGGCTTAGGCTGAGGCTTGTTGGCGGACTACGAACTTTCTTCTAACACGTGCATGCCTTGTAAGTGGGCCAGATGTGTGACGAGCAGGGCCGTAGCGATCCCCGATTTTTGGGGGGGGGGGCAACTCCAAAAAAATTTTTTGGAAACGTACCAAAACTATCAAAGACAGCGCCGCAGGCGAAAATTTTTGAAAACTTAGGGCCATGACAGTAAAAACAGTCTTAAAAACAACTATAAAAAAGCGCCGCAGGCAAAAAAATTTTTGAGGAAAAAATCATAAGGGTCCCCCCTTATGAATTTTTCGGCCTTCGGCCGATTTTGGGGGGGAAGGGGGCAACTTGCCCCAGTTGCCCCCCTTCCTACGGGCCTGGTGACGAGTGTGTGGCCATGCGTCGATCAGACTTTTCCTTTACTGCTACTAGGCATTACTTTTGAATTAAATATTGCAAAAACTTTTGAAAGGATAGAATGAGACGACTTTCCTGACCAGTTCTTTCTCTGACTCATACCGACCCAAGTCCACGAAAAGCTTCTTAGCCAGAGTAAACAACCCTTCCCCGCCTGGCTAGTCGTTTTCGAGACGGTTTTTTATAGATTCTCAAAAACTGGGCGTGTTAGCGTTTCTGTGATTGTATATTTTTCTTAACTTCCGTTGATTTCTGATTATGACAGCCGCTCAAAATCACTTGTCCGCCAATCCATCACCGCGGGCTGGTTAGCCGCTGTTTGATGAGTAATCGCCCGCTTCCGGGAAGCTACTGCTTTACAATTCTTGCGTGATGTGGACCCATGTCCGAGGGGGGGGGGGGCCGGGGGCTGTTTTCAACGGTAGTTGCTAGAACCGATCGGGCGGATCATCGCGCCGGGCAAATTGGACGAGCGTGGTTTCGGAAACATAGAATGCGATTTGTTTCTACGTTTTTAGTTAGTTTTGCGCTTTGGGGAAAATTTTTCCATTTAGCGTGGATATACAATATTTTTTCTTGCTGATTCGATTTTCGTAAAGGAATGGAAAAAAATACTCAGTTTTTCATCGGCGAATTGCTGTAACTTTCCCTTTAATCGCAACTTTATCCTTAATTTAAATACGCAATCTTAAGCAATGTAAATAAAACTTCTAATGTACTTAAAACATGCTAATTTTTCTATTCTAGCTCGACCAAATTTCCTGGTTTTCCCGATTAACAAAAAAAACACCGTATGCATAACAAAATGGATTGAAAAACCTATTGTGAAAGCTGGAGGGGGACATCCATCCCCTACTTTTCACCATCCATCGGCAACTGCTGAATTTTGGGGGTCCCGGGGCGGCGGCGCTTCCCGGAGTGATCGCCTCATTCATAATTTTAGACTCCCTAGGGAACGGGGTGCCTTTTTGGGGTGCCGGAGCTTTTAGCGGCTCTTGGGTATACACATTTCACAGCATGCTTTTCAAACCGCTTCTATTTTTTGGTTTAGGTTCCCCGCCACCAAAAATCCTGCAATTTTGTTTTACAGGAAGCATCATTCATTTTCCTGCTTTCGACCCGTAGAATCGTTCAAAACTTGTAGTTTAGCGCTAAACGTTTGTATACGCTCAAAGCCCTTAGAAACCACCGTTTAGAGGTCCTAGGTTTTAACAGCAAAAATCTGGCACATGCGGGAATCGAGCCAGTGCCGCTCAATGAGCGGCGAACGCGCTAACCACTACACCATCTTGCCACGGCGTTGATTTTTGTTTCATATATTTCTTGCGATTTGTGTTGATAATGCGGTTCCTCAACCCGATCTTATTTATATTTCTTTTTATTAGGCAGAAAAAAGAAGATACAGGTTTTTAAATTCCATTTCTTTTCTTCAGGCCTTTATGTCTAAACAGACCCCCTAAATCTTTCAAGTTAATTAAGCAATCAGAATAAAAGTCGTGAAGAATGCCGCCATTCCTATTCTTCCGGGTTAGAAGGACTAAAAAGACCCGATAAGCCTCCAGGTTTATCTAAAAAAACTACCCGAAAAAGCTTATCGTCTCGGCCCACCCTGCCCCATTTCAATACAAACATCGTGAAACCGATGTCGGCCCGCCGGCCTGGGATGAGGGGCAGTAGATTCAGTGTGGTAGTGGTGGATGGTGGATGGTGAGAGCCGGGGCCCTTCCTCCCCCCTCGGCAAATACTACAAAAGAAATCTCTTCGGCACATCGCTTCGCGAGTCGATCGACCCCCCGCAGCCAGCATGAACGGCGCCTGCAATTTTTGAGTCGTAAACTGGTTCCATAACTTTACATTGACGCCTAGGACTCGTGATCGGTTCTTAGCGATGTTTTTTGAGGTCCAGATGGAGCTGGAGCTTGAGAATTGAGCTTTGGATGCTTGATTCGAGCGGATCTGTTGAATTATCCAAATTTTTGTCAAACATTTATTCTCGGGACTCCGCAAGGCCTTGAATCTGGGTGGAATTGCTAAAAATTCACTCCCACAGTCTTGGTCCAGCCCTTAAATGAGCTTCAGATGTTTTTATTCAGAATTCTCCACTGAGTGGCTTATCTATCTCGCTCCTTTTCACTCCCTCGCCTTTCTCTCTGTCTCTCTCGCCCTCTTTCCCTCGCTTCTCGCTTTCCCTCGCTCTATCTCTCTCCGACCGTTTCCATCTTCCACGCACGCACCTAGCGCAAGCCATGTGGATGCGTTCGCTTTGGTCCCCCACGCGCTCCCCACCTGGCCCACTCCCTATGGATACCTTCCCTCCCCCATCCCTTCATAAACTTACCTGGCTGGGGGGTTCCCGTGATCATCAAGACGGGACCCCTATGGCGAGGCTTGGCCATTGCACTTCTCGGCCGGGCTGACCTGTAAGGCAGCTCCGAGTTGGGGTTCGCCTACAGCTAAATTTTTGTGTGAGGGGCTGCGTTCGCGCGGCCCTGATAATGCCTGAACTCGACTGATATTTCCCTATTTTTGGCGTTCAAAACTCTTGTAGTCTCAAGATCCCCTCTCATAACTGAATATCCTCCCTCCCGAAAAATGCCGGATGTGTTGACCCTCCGTTGACTCAACCAAGGATGAATCCCCGATGTTTACAAGAATTTTGCTCGCCCAAATCGCGAAGCCTCTCAAAAATCGTCCGTTTTCCAGCCATGTTCGAGCCGTCGCCAAGTCACCACTCGGATAGTACGCACTCCAACTTCAAGATGAGCCCGTCGCGGTTTATTTCGAGGTAAGTGTACTCAGGCGTAAGCTTAGGCTTAGGCTTTGGCTTAGGCTTAGGTTCAGGCATGGGCTAAGGCGTTGGTTCGATTAATTCTACAATTTAAATAATCTTTTTTTTCCAGAGTTCGCGACGTCTTCGACAAGGCCTCCAACAAAATCCGGCAAAGCCCCTCCTACCACGGCTCCATCATGCACATCGAGCCACCTTCAGCCCAAAAGGTTGGTCCATTTCTCCGAAGGATTCATCGAATGTTGTCCTACTGTTTCCGTACTCTCTTTTTCATCTATTTCTTGGTTGCTCAAAATTTCGGGGCGAGGCACCCCGCCGAGGGCGAGATGTGTGTTGGAAATAAGAGGCAATTTCCGAGTGTCTTTTGAAAAGACGACGGGAGTCACCGTAGTGCTATTCCGAGACTTTCCTTTGCTCTACTCACTCGTGACAATTTGACACTTGGCCTGATGGATTTCTAATTATACTTCTAGTGCAGGCTTATTAGTTTTTAGGTTGGTTAGGTCTCCCTCTCTCTCATTCTCTTTCTCTCGCTCTCTCTCTCTCTCTCGCTCTCTCTCTCTCTATATCTTTCTTGACACAATACGAGCAACCCCAAAATCGCACGTTCCTTCCTAAATATTTCGCTCTCCATAAGCACTCCTGCTCAATCCCACGCATCACTGCTCGATTGCCATATTCCTTATAAACCCCTCATCCAATCCGGGCAGACGGACCCTTGTCCTAATGCAAAAAGCACTTCCTTATGTGGGCGGCATCATAAAATGGGCCACCCCCGAATTGGTCAGCCCCATCGTCCATTAGTCAGAATTGTTGTGGGCGACCAGACACAATTTATCGGATTTCTTTGTTTTTGCAAATCATGCCGAATGACACGGTTCATAGGATCGAATCGGAAGCTAGCACTAGGCTGAGGCTTAGGGTTAGGCTTAGACTTGGGCTTAGGCTTAGACCTAGGTTAGGCTTAGGCTTAGGCTTAGGCTTATGCTTTTTCTTGGGCTTTCTTAGGCTGAAGCTTAGGCTTGGGCCCAGGCTTAGGCTTTGGCTTGAATTTAGGCTTAGGTTTGGGCTTAGGCTTAGCTGTATGCTTCGCTTAGGCTTAGACGGAGGCTTAAGCTTGGACTTCGGTTCGCGAATTTTTGTGATTTCAAATCCTCTTTAAAATACTCGGATTGCTACCCAGACGAAGAGCAAAGGCCAGCCTAGTAGACCATAATTCATTTCTCTCACCCTTTTTCCCATTTCCGCCTTGCCAAACCATCGGCCACGGCTGCCCCGGATATGCTCCTCTTGCAAAAATAGGGCACACTTTTGGCAGTACGTAATTATAAAATAAATATTTTCCCATTTGGATTTTACCATCTTAAGCCATTTTTTTGCTCAATTTGTTGTTCCCAACAAATTGTTCTGGTTTTTTCGCAAACACGCTTTTTCCCAGCCCACACTTATCCTCTGCTCATCCTGGCCTTTAAGGGCCCGTTTTTTGTAAATAACAAACATGTGGACACAAAATTTGGTCTCATTTGCATCTTGCTGACAGAAATAAATAGAAACCGACCTAGAAAAAATTAAGAAAGTTAAGGGATACCTAAAATTATTCGTCTTTAGAAGGTTTTGAGGTTACGGCTCGGAAAAGTAGTATTTTGTTTATGTTTCAGGCTCTTCATTGCTTAAAATTCATTTAAAAAGATTGCCATGATTCTATGACAACGCCTTTATTTGATCTCCAAGGAATGTAGAGACCTATAAGTCGGTCGAATCCTGTAAAACATGCTAAAAATGGGGTAAATACTTACACGAGCTTCGGGCCCACCATACTTACCATCCCCCGGAAAACATTAGTCATTAGTGCCGCACCCATTTGTCCATTTGTTTGTTGGTACTTTTCTTGTTGCTCTCTCTATCTCTTTCCACCTTCCTACCTATAAGTATGTCATTTTGTGTGTGTGTGTGGGCCTTGAGGCGGGCCACTGCTTGGGTCCTGCCCCCCCATTACCCGTCACTTCCCCCCCCCCCCCCCCCCCCTCTGCCCCTCCTTCAAATATTTGCCGCGCGGATTCCCACCAATTTTTCTGTTTCTAGAAGCATCCGGGATCGAGGTGGGCCCCACCCCGGACGACTAGTCATTTCCCCCGGCTGTCTACCGGAGTTTGAGTGGGGGATTTACGGGTTTTCCAACATTACAGGGTTGAAGTATCTGGCTACAGTATATGGGCTAGCTATTAAATGCAAAAATTGCTTATGGGTCCATATAATTTTTCAAACGATAACACAAATATAAATTTCCTGAATATTGTCTTCGAAGCTATCAACATTTGCGATGTTTTTACTAGATCTTAGTAGTAATTGTGATGACTATGCCATTTAGCCTACTGTGAATTAATAGGATTACAAATTCATTGTTTAAAACTTTCCTTTATTTGATATCGGTTTCCCTTTTTGATGTTTTTAGTAGATCTTAGTTGTTAGGCGCAACTAGGCTAAATTGCCTCTTCGGTAACCTACTGGGCTGCTACTATTTTTATTTGAAGCATTTTATTTGCCTTTAAATTTGTAGAAGCTGGCTGGAATAAGTGTCGCCTATCTAGACACCTAGATTGCTTTTTCTTTTTGCCTATTGCGCATTTGGCCGCAAAAACGTAGGCTTTTCATAACTTTTGTTTTAACTGAATGACCAGATCTTCTGGCCCCGACAACGAGGTATCTTTTGGTATACTTGAAATGCCTCCACGATAACGCACAACGTTTTTACAATTTAAAAAATAAAGAGAAACGCTAGTGGCCTTTTGACGTTGGTACAGGGGGATATGCTCCCCCTCTCCCGTCACCCCGCTTGTCAGTGTGGTGTAGTGGGTTAGCGCCCCCAGTGTACCACCCACAAGGCCCGGGTTTGACCCCCGCCCGCGGGATACGAGTGCAATGATGTCTATTCACGTTAATCAGAAACCACTGTTGAGAAATTTCACAACCTGAGACACTCTTTTTTGGTATGTTTCAGTTAGCTTTTTTGCCGATATAAGAGGAATAGGTTCAAAATAACAATGTAAGTTTTTCATCGAAGTCCCGGTTCATTTTCTGGGGTTTGATGGCAGTTTTAAGTAGTTTTTAGGTAAAGAAAGTTAGTTTTTCAATGTTAAAGCAGTTATTATGCGATTTTGACTTTTTATCCTGTATTCCTGTAAACATCCGGAAAAAAAACAAAGACATTATTCATCCCTAGTATTTTTTCGTCTAACCTGATCGTCAAAATCATACGTCCCTTCCCCGGCTTCTCCCCAAAGCACAACATCCATCCGCCTATCGTCGTCATCTTCCAATACAATTCTACACCCCTCCTCCTTGCCCGTCCCATTGACATGTTGTCTCCGTGTTTGCCCGCGTTTTTCACGTTTCAACCGAAATTCACGTCGTTCGTGCCGATGCGAGGGCCCGTGTCTGAATCATTGTTGATTCGAGGCTCGTCTGCTATTTTTTTCGCTCGCCTTTTCTGACGACTGCTTCTTCCTCTCGATTTCTAGGCGCTGTTTTCTTGCCCGATTTTTCCGCTCGGCTTTTCCACCCTCCGCCCTCATCATCGTCCTCTTCCCCATCCTCAGGCTTCCTCACAGCTGTTTCTGAAGCGTTTTTTTGGGGAAGGGGTAACTCAAACACTACTGACATTTTTTCGCAGTCTTTCTCCCTCCCTCTGTATGTCTCTCTCTCTCTCTCTCTCTCTCTCTCTCTCTCTCTCGTCTTTTGAGGAATTTTGCGGCGACGGCATGCGAAGAGCTCGTGTACAATTTTTGTAGATTTTTTCGCAATTTTTCGCAAGGAATGGGTTGGGTTTTTCTCTGGTTTTTTCCAGGTTACTCTACTTATCTTTTTAGTTTTCTGTTTTCAATCTTAGGGTTTTGATTCAAGGCTAATGTCCATTAAGACGAAATTTGCGTAATTGCAAACACGCGGCCAGTTTTTTTAGTCAAAATGCCTCCGGAAGGTATTCTAGTCTGATTTTTGAGGATGCTATTGTGTTAATCCCAGCGAGAGAAAGGTTCACCCCGCGCCACCTTTAAAACCTTTAAAAACGGACAATTTGATGATAGACGCTTTTTTGTAGTTTTTCACCAACTGCCTTCCTTATACGGTTAATTCCGTGCGATTTGCAGGATTGATAACAATTTTCTATCACAAATCCTTTGTAAGATTCCAGAAAATCGTATCAAAAAAGTATCAGCAATCAAAAAACCCTCAACAACCCCCGATTTCCGCCCCCGCCCCAAGTTAGCCTAGCCCGTCAGCCTGACTCACACTCCCGCCTCTCGCTTCTGTTGACGTAACGTCGTCGTCTTCTCAGCTAAAATGAGGCTAAACGCCTCCGACTTTTGGCCCTTCCTACCTCAATCCTCCGCTGGCCCATATGTTTCCACTATCCCTGCTTCAAGCCCTTGCCCTTCATAAAATCGGCTCCCGGGAGGCGCCCTCCTGTGGGCTCTACCCGATAACGGAATGGCCCTAAAATTTCAGCACTACCCCATTCGCCAGTCTTTTTATTTCTTTTCGTTCGGATAACTTTAGTTCGGAGCTTAGGTTTTCGGCTTAGGTTGGGCTTAGGCTTAAGCCTAGGCTTAGACTTGGGTCTAGGCGTGGGCTTGGGCTTGGGCCAGGCTTAGGAACGGTTTACGCTACCTTGCGTCGGTTTGAATGAGACTAGGATTAAGCTTAGACTTAGGCCTAGGCTTAGAATTGGGCTTAGGCTTAGGCCTAGGCTTAGGCTTAGGCTTTGGTTTAGGCTGTGGCGTAGGCTTGAATTCTGATCTCCCTGAAGTGATTTTGTGGGCTTGAAACCAAAAACCGTCATCAGCTTCTCTAACCCTGTTTTCCATCCCAAACAGTACCCTGCAACAGTTGCAACACGTTTTTCGAGCCCTCTGCATCCCGGCGCTAGATGTGGCCAGGCGTGCAATGTGGGCCCTCCTGCCCGGCTGCCCCGCATCCTGGTGTCCTTCTATTTGCTCTTCGCGGCGTCTCAGTCAGGGGGGAAGAAGCCCTTTTTGAATGCCTCGTTGACCCCGGCCGACCGACCGACCGCATCCATACCGATCCATCCAGCCGCCACCTTTTCGAGTTTTCTGGAACTATTCAGCTTTTTGGCTATTACGGGCTTGGGATCTGAAACCTATGCGAAATTCGCTAACGCCTGCGTCATCATTAACCGATCTTGATCGGTGGCTTTTTTTGGGGAATTTTTGAGTTATTTAAAACAAAGATTTCGATGTTTTTCAATCTTTCTATCTCCGCCTGTCTTACTCTCGTGACATTGTGCCAGTTGTGTCGTTCGCTCAGGATTCCCCACGCACCCCCCACCTGGCCCACCCCCTGTGGATACCTTCCCTCCCCCATCCGTTCATAAACTTACCTGGCTGGGGGGTTCCCGTGATCATCAAGACGGGATCCCTATGGCGAGGCTTGGCCATTGCACTTCTCGGCCGGGCTGACCTGTAAGGCAGCTCCGAGTTGGGGTTCGCCTACAGCTAAATTTTTGCGTAAGGGGCTGCGTTCGCGCGGCCCTGAAAATCGTTGTTGAATCAACGCTTTTGCTCATGTAATTTCGTAGAGACAAATTTAACCTACCTTTGTTACAGTGTATGATCGACCGAGACGCCGAAACATCCCTCCGCTACCTGCGCGAGGTCATCCGGAATGGCAAAGCCGAAGTCATCCCCTCAGCTGCGCAAGCCGTCCTGAACAGTCTAGTGAATAGCAAGCACCGGAAAGACCCGGCTTTTCAAGTGAGCACGACTTCTAGAATGAAATCAGGTTCTTTTTAGGACGCGCTCATCAACCTCCTGAAATTTGTGGACGCTCAGCTCAGCGGGCAGTCTACCTCGAAAATTGATCAATTTGAAGGGATGCGAATGGTTGATGAGCTTCAGAAGGTAAGAGAGAGAGAGCTATCATTAATACTCGCTTTCAGGAACTCCTTGCCAGCCGATCCCGCGACCAAGCCGAAGAATCGATCTCATCGTATGAAGTGGAAGAACCTGACGAGGGAATCGGGAGCTCGATCTCAAACGCCAGCACTGGCCCGGATACTGAACTCGATGATCTCTTATGCCAATTGAATCTCAGGTAACGAGAAGGTAGACAGATTTTTTTGTATTTTTTTTTACAGAAAAGTCGCAAAATTCGAGCCAAAATTCCCGGAAATCGACGCCGATTCTGACGATGAAGGCGGGGTCTTGACGGAAGAGCGGAAGGAGGAAAGAGCGGAGAAGCATGGTCAGAAAGTGAGTATTTGTCCTGGCGGTGCATTTTAATGACTAGTTTCTTGCTCTATGCTCTTCAAAAAAGTATTTAAAGGTAACAAGACATAGCTCGAAGTATTTAAAGTTATCTAATCGTATCTGAAAGTATATAAAAATCCAAATGTTATCTGAATGCAGCTAAATAAGGTTTTGAAATGTGACAAAGGGTACCTAAAGGTATTTAAAACAGTAAGCCCCATTGCAGACTTGCGAAGAGGAGGTGGAGACGCTTGCCGATGGAACGGAAGTTAGAAGAAAGAAGACCCGGACGGTGAATATGTCACAAAGTAGTCGTCAGGTAACTTAACCTTAAGCAGATTCTTAAGAATTTGCATCTGGCGTACAGGGTCAATATTCAAATTTCTAGGTGGTGATCAGCACCCGTGGCGGCAACGGCCCGATGGTGTCGAGAAGATTTGCGGACGGCAAGAACTCGATGAACGACGATACAGACTTCGAGACCACCGACTTTTTCAGCTCCCCCTTGGCGAGGTAAGGTTTCTAGAGGATTCGCAAATCATCACCTTCAGGATGCGCCGGGATCGGGCCAACTTTTTGGGGCCCGAAGAACCCTCAATTGTCAATGACGGCGAGAAGAATGGGAGTGAGCCCGGACAATCGCAGAAGACGAGGACGGTGGAAGCCACTAGCGAGATTACACAGTAGGTTTATGCTTATTGTTAGGCTTGGACTTAGGCTTAGGTTAGGCTTAGGTTTAAGCGTAGGTTTTGGCTTAGGCGTGGGCTTCGGCTTAAGCTTAAGCTTAGGCTTAGGCTTAGGCTTACTTAGGCTTTGTTTAATCAAATCAGAACCTAAATGCCCAAATTCTAAATTCCTAACTTCTAACCATTCCAAAAGCATACCTGTCTTTTTTCAGAAGCGTTGCCCAGAAAACCCAGAAAAACGGCCGAACACTTGCTGAAAACGCCGCACACAAAATTGATACCACCGACTTGAAAGCGAAGCAGATCGATACCTTTAGGGTAAGTATGCTTTAATCTTCTACAAACTGCATAATCCTTTTAGGACAAACAACTAATCGACCGGAAAGGAGACGGAACTTATGAAGAAGCCACAATAGTCCGAGGAGGGCTGCCAGGAATTGAGAGAAATCCACATGACTCCCCCGTAAAGAAGCACGTCGTGGAATATATTCAGGTAAACATTTTGACGATGCTCTAAAAGTATAGGTTGTGCTTTGATGCTTCTTTGCGAAAAAGAGGCTTAGCAGCACGTTTTTTACCTAATTGCATCTGCTGCAAGGACTAACGACCCAAATGTGGTCTTTCCGGGACTAACGTAGGCGTAGGCGAGCATTTTTTAGCCAGGTCATCAGATTCTGAAATGATCTTGGTTTTTTGGGCATGAGCTAGGTATAAAAGCTCTGGCCTAAATCTCGAGCGTAGATTCAAAATTTTAGCGCATGAACTAGGTTTAAAAGTCTTGAGCGTAGGTTCAAAATTCCTGTGCTTTCAGCGTCATCAATTTTCAGCGCGCCCTCACTGAATTCCAAGTAGCCCTTTGAAAGTGTCTACGTTTTTCTGTTTTCACTGAATTTCAAAAAATCCCAAAAGGCGGTTTATAGACGTTCGACACGAAGAAGGACCCGAATGCCGACGAGTTTTTGAGGGGAACAACGCTGGCGACGTATGTGCGGTTGAACGACAGCTTACGGTGGGTTATTTTGATGTTTTTTTTGAAGATTAAAGGTATCGAAATTATGTGCAATACTCCATAAAGGCGCAAATAGCTACCTAACACGCCCCTCGTTTGTATAAAATATGCTGAAGTATTTTATTTTTTCAAATTATTGAGAAGCGGCTTTCGTTCATGTCATTAATCCCGAATAGACTTTACCATTTGAAGCTAATTCTATGAAAAATGTTTGAACTTGAAAACATCAACAAATCTGAGTTTTGAGGTTTGAGTGATTAAAGCGCTCTTAAAACGATTGTTGAACAGAAACCCCCGAAAACAACGCGTTATTCCATAGCATTTATGCGTTATCTGATACCACAGCCAACTTTCAAATACTTAGAACATCTCTGAACCTCCAAACAAATACTTTTGTTCACGATTTGTGCCACCCGGGGTTCCGCAATAAACAATTCGCGCTTCCGAGAAATATTGCCACCTGGCCGGTGGGGTGGCTGGAATAGCCACCGACAGCGCCATGAGGCTCATTAGTACACCACCCGGCCGCCATTTTATATGCATTTCCCGTGACAGAACAATTATTTTTCACGCTACGGATGATGCTACGGATATTTGGGGTGATACGGAAGTAAGGATTAGCTTGGAAATTGCAAATTTTGATTTACAAAGACTTAGATGGGTTAGGCTTAGGCTTGGACTTAAGCTTGGCCCTGGGCTTTGGCTTCGGCTTACACCTACGCTTAGGTTTAGGCTTATGTTAGGTTTAGGCTTAGGGAACATTAGGCTTTGGTCTAGGCTTAGGCTTCGATCTAGGCTTAGGTTAGGCTTAGGGTTAAACTTAAGTCAAAAATTTCCGATGAGATCACCCTCCAAATATAGAAATTTTTGACGTACCTCCCCTCTTCTCAAAGAATTTTTACGCGCAAGTAGCAGCAAAAAAGCGAGGCAAACTGCAGCCCGGTGTCAGGTCCATTTTAACTCATCGCCCGAAAAGATCGAGACCTCCGATAATAAACCGGGCAGTTTTCAGGCTACACGAGGAGCAGTTTCGGAAGAAGCTGACCTTCGAGTTCTCGACGTCGGGTGAGTTGGTTTTTTGATGAATTGTTGCTCGATATTGGGACGGAGAAATGGTACGATGACGGTGTTTCGCCATGCTAATGGCCTTGGCATTTTGGGTGTTGGGATGCGAAAATGCAGACTTTGAAGCCTCGGTTACCACAAGCTTTTCCCAAAAGTTTAATACCTTTTCCTGCCTTCGCTGGCCCTTGAAAAACGCTTACGACTCTAGAAACTTATTTAAATTATAAGTAAACCTAACCTAAGCTTCAAAAAGCAGCCCTCTCCTTCCCCGGCGCGTCAATTTATGATCCATTACGAGGTTGAAATGGTGGCTGGGGGGGGAAGGAAGAGCACGAGATGGGTTAGAAAGACCTTGAAGCCGCCCGTGATTCTGTCCGTCCCTTTGGGTTCCTTATCACCCCCTCACTTTTCCGCCCGTTTCGCGTGCGGGCGCGGGTTTCGAGAGCCCGCGACTACGAGAAGCTTTTTTCTAGCTTTGCGGCTTTTTGGATTTTAACCTAAGAAGCGTAATTCCATTTTTAAAGTGACTAGGATGGTAGAATCTAGAGATCTGAATATCACTAAAATCGCTTCTGGCAAGAACTCGAACACGCACCACTCTTTGTCACCACCCGTTTAAAAAGTCGTGTTCAAGGCTGAAATAAATCGAGTTTTGAGCATGAAACCTCAAGCTTCAAACTCATTCTCTCTGTATCGAAGCCAGCTTGGTGCTTAGCTGATTTGAAAAAAGCATTACTTTAGCTGTCAAGCTTCCTCTAAAAATCGTCGCATCTCGAACCTCAAGCTTTAAGCCTCGAGCTCAAAACTCATTCTCTCCTGATCATAAAGCCAGCGCGATGGCTTAACGCATTTTTCGTAAAGGGTTAGTTTAGCTGACTTTATCCCTTTAAAAAGTCGTGTTCAAGTCTCGGGTATACGGCATTGAGCATAAATCTCAAGCTCAAAACTCATTCTCCCCGTATCATGCCAAAACCGAGGTGATGGCTGCCACCGTTGCCCCCGATGCCATGCGTGTATTCATCGGCTCTGCTCCCCGTTCGCCCTTTTGTCAGAACCCCCTCGTCTCGCCCCCCGATCGGTCCGTCATTTATTTCGGCAGCAGCAACAGCAGCCATTTCACGCCCAACACTCTCGACCCCCGTCCCCCTCGCCTCGCCTATTGCCTGCTATGGAACACACGCGGTGCAAAAGGGGCCAGAACCGATATTATTGACCACAATCCAGCCGATCGGGGCGCATACACCGGCCTGGGACTCACATAACAAGAAATTGTTAGACGGGCCCTTTTTGGTCACCACTTCCTTCCGGGACCTAGATTTTTGCAAATTTTGTAGTTTTTATGGTCTACAAGACTGACAACCATTTTTTCAAAAAACTTCAAATCTGAAGTAAAAAAGTTTAAGAGTTTAGTTTAAAAAAGTTTTCAGTATAGTTAAATGTGTTTAGTTCTGCAGAATACATCAAATTCGCCGAAAAATCGGAAATTCTCAACCCTAGAAAGCTGAATTTTTGCATTCGTAGCTCCCCTTGAAAAGCGCAGAATCATAAAATTTCACATTTTTTGTTAATTTTAAAGATTAGTTCAGGTATTTTATCTGTAATACTTCTCGAATTTCCAAAAATAAAAAGATATGAAATATTGAATTTGCCGCTATATCGATATTTTTGTTTTTTTTGGTAAGTGCGCGAATCCCGCAAAACTCCTATTTTTCTGGATTTTTAAAACCATCTATAGTTTTAATGGAGCATTTTATCAAAAAGAAGGCATTCAGGAACGACGCGCTGTTTTTGGGAATTTCGGCCTTCCATTACTGCTTTCATCTAGCAAACGTGCTTTTCTGATCATCTACTGGCTTCTTGGTGGTCATTTTCACTTCACAGCGACTTTAAGACTTTTCCAGCCAGGAGATTTTTAGATTCTTTGCTTTCCCATGCAAAATCATCCCTCACTGACACGCCACCCAGTGATTTTCGGCAATTTTCGACAATTCTCGGGGACAACCCAGCGGCATCTCACCCTTTTGTTGAGAATATCCAGTCACGCCATTTTCGTCTTCATTTTTGGCCGCGATTTTGATCTCCCCCAGAAAAACCCTTGGAACCCAGGGCGCAACATTCGAGCCTCGAGCCTCGAGCCTAATTCGCGTGGCCTCCAATTTCGAACGGTTGTAGAGGATGCTAAATAGAGTCTAGTCTTGGCGTAACGAGAGCAGGAGATCTTTGA